ACTTATAGTATTCTGAAAATACAACACAAGTTACTGAAGACAGAAACATATCGAAAAAGTAGTTTTTTCTCGCAGAGAGGAGAGGTACACGGCAAAAACGATCTAGAAATTAGTAAAATATCTTAAAACAAGTGTATTTACCCTTAATTGGAGCAGGTAAATAAGATGATCTTCCAATGGAAAAAGTATGTTTACTCTTATATTAAGATAATTAAGCACTTAAAATAAGAGACAGCTGTTGGTTTTTTGTTTTTTCTTATTTTAAATGTAAAATGTATTATTCCATTTACAAAATGCCTCTCTTACCTGCTCAACTCAAGAAAAAATACAATAATAAAAAAATAAAAGACTTACATAGATGTTAATTATTGCAGTGTGGGCATGGCAAGTGCAGGGTGTTGATCTGTAGCCTCCACCCTTGAGATGAATTGCTTAAGAGTCAAAACACAGTGACATATGGAAATGGGCCAGCTGCTGGCTGTGTTTAATCACCGGGATGATTTGTTCAGGGAGCAGGAAAATAACTTGGAAATCGTTACGGGGGCATCTTGGGAGAGCAAACATCTGTCTGTGTTGTTCAGAGTGCTGACACTGAAAATCAACACTCCTCTGATCTGCTCTCAGGGAAATCAGCTGCAATTATCATCCTCTGTCTCTCTGTAGCTGTTCCATCCCCTTTTAAATGTCTCCATCTCCCCTCATTAAAGAGGATAAACAGCTGATGTTTGTCACAAAAGAGCCACCGTCTCTCACAGAGAAATGATGAAAATTAAACACAAAGCTGCATTTTCCTTAATTGTTTCTGGGGCCTGCAACAAAACGGACAATCGCTGCCTACACACAAACCTGCAATCTAAAGTGTGAGCTTAGATGTGGAAATCTCTATGTTGGTTGCAAACTCTACTTCACTCTTTGTGAATCAATTTAGATATTGACAAAAATCAGAATTGTCGTGAGATTATTAAGGTTTAGATGTAAGAATCTAATATTTCCACCTCTCACCAGGCTGTATGTGGTCTTCTTTTATGTGATGTTCTTATATATATATATATATATATATATATATATATATATATATATATATATATATATATATATATATATATATATATATATATATATACATATATATTATGACTAAACGCACAAGCTTTGAATAGAACATTTAACCAAAGGGAAAGGACTGACATGTGGCTTTTATAAACTACTAGTCTCTGTCCTGTTGGGTCAGCAACAGGCTTAGGAGGGAAGAGATTGCATTTTTCATTAGCTTCTAGGTGGAGAAAAGCCAGGACTCATGGGTGAGGCTGAGAAAGCAGCAGTGCTATTGATTTCAATGACAGTGAATAAACTCATAAGTGAAAAACGCTGAGCTGCTCCAATGTTGCTGCAGAATGAAATGCATGTTACTCCAGAAGCGAATTGTAGGATACAAACTTCTAAAACTTTACCATTCAAACATATTTCTTATATTTTTCCAAATTAATCAGGTTGTTTTAACGTTAATGTTTATCTTTGAGAGGCCACGTTTTTTAAGGTTGGGCTAGAATGATATCAGGTGATTAAAAAACCTGCAGCCTCGTTCTGCTCTACCTCCTAGCGACGTGCTGCTATTGGTCCTTTGACTCCACCTGTGAGGAAGAGATGTGGCTGTCCAAGTCCAGAGGAGACACGTTCCTCCTCAGAAACCTGGACTTATAATAGAACCTAGAAGAGGCCCAGACTGATGTGGAGTCAACAGCACACTGTCCATCATTCTCTGCTGGTTCTACACTTCTTTTTATTGCTCGCCTGTGGATAATCCTACGGCTTGAAGCAAAACGTATTTATTTGTGTCCCATGTTGCTCCACCTGTCTTTGCAATAGTTTACCTTTTGTAAGAAGCACATCAGATCAGCTATAAATAAACCACAGTGATATGAGTTTGGTATTTAGATCATGACCTGAGGTGTATCTTTTTATTTTCTTAAGCCTCATATAGTATGATGGTGGATTCACTCTCACCTTTAGTTGTGCAAAGGTGAATTCTATCCATTAGTTGCAATGTTTGCAAATACAGAAAAAAAGGTTGAGCTGATGACATGGGAGCTGGCTCAGAGTGTGTCTGCCTGGATGTGTGTTTACTGGACGGGGCCACCTGTGGAACTGGTTAACAGCATGCCAAGCAGTATCTCTGCTTCTGTCTCCTTGAACCCCAGTTAGCCTCAGCAGACGGCCGCTCACACTGATCCTGGTTCTGCTGGAGGTTTCTCCCTGTTAAAAGGGGGTTTTCCTCCCCACTGTCGCTACAAGCATGCTTGGTTGTGAGGGATTGCAGAAGAGTCAATGAGTCGATGCAATCAACTGATTTTTCTTAGAAAACTTTGAACCAATCTGACAGTGGGAACCAGGTAGAATTGTGTCTGCAAAGTGCCTTGAGATCAAATGTGTTGTGAATTTGCGCTGTATAAATAAATTGAATTGATAAATCACCGGACAATTTACAGAGTCAATTTGATCGAATTTAGAGACTGATTGGTTGAAAGTTTTCAATATAACAAAAAACAAAACAAAATCATTATCTTATTTCAAGTACAGTATATGCAAGTATCTCTTTTCTGGGGCCAGAATACTCATTTTATTAGCTGATACCTTTACCTACTTGGAAAGACACGCATTTTCAGATCAGTTTTTGCAGTTTTAGTATAAATACATTATACAAAATGTGCTAGTTTAAAGCAACCTTACTCTTGAAATAAGAACAGATTTTTTTATTCCTATTAATTTTATTCCACATTAATTAAAAAGCAACTCAAGCTCTGGTTTTTCCACTGTGTCCTACATAAAGTACATGGATTTTTTTTTTAACAGGATGCAACCTGATTGCTGTTACACCTAGCTTAACATGGTCCAACACCCTCTCACAATACACGTTAAACTGGTTAGTGACAACTGGTTTCCAATAATTAAGGACAGCGTGATTATGAAAAGGTTTAAAAAAAAAACCTGGCAGGTGGAGACTTTCTTTTTTTGTTTTGTTTTTTTCAGCACTAGTGGCTGTTTTTTGGAGAGTAGGCTGACAGGAAAGGGGGTATGAGAGGGGAGGGACCACAGGTCTGATTTGAACCCAGGTCATGTGCGCTAACCACTGCGCCACCAAACACGCCCAGAGATTCTTTCTTTAACCATGTTTCTGATTACTTTGTAGCAAAAAACAAACAAACAAAAAAACTCAAAAGTAAAACATTATTTATACTCTGGTCAAAAGTGGAAGAATGATATGGCAATTAAAGAAATAAATGAGCTCTAAGGTGGTGATGCTGGATTGCCTTCTTGGCATGACCCTAATATTTAGTGATTAGTCTTAATGCAAATATATGAATACTATGGAGCTGTACTGTAGTATTAGTAAACATTAGATGAATTTGTTCAGTCTAAATGAGACATTTTCTGTATAGGTTTTGTTATATTTTAGAGTACATTTCAGTATGATGCTTAATAACACCAGGCGTCAATGGTATAAAACCTTTTCTTCTGCTCAAAGTATAAATTGAGTCAAAGCATACTTCTAAACAAGCATTAAAGTGTTTTAAATTGAGCTTATATGTTGAAAGTTAACAAACTATACAGTCCCCGCCTGTGGCAGTTAGCCCTTTTCTTTTTGATAAACAGTATTAGAATTAGATCCACAAATATGAATTTTCATTAGTGTTCAAACAGACTGTACAGTCAAATGAACGAAAACAGGATATTTCATAATCCTGTTTTAGCTTTTTTTAATTTCATAATTATGCAAAATATAAACACATGCATATCACTTCACAATTTCCACAGCTCACATTAAACATATGACTAATTTTTGCTCAAACGCAAAATTAGAAATAGCTTTTGCGTAACCTGTTTATTCTTTTATAAGTCTCAAAACCATCCATAACCCTTTTTTTCTGCACATCCGAATTGAAATTCAGACAAGTTTTCTCTCATATGAATCATGTTTAGTTTACAAAAACCAGACAAAATCAAAGCACTTTTTAAAGGTATCATCCGTACCAGATAAAAAATAAAATATGCCTTATATATAAACTATGTTGGCTCCATTTAAACTGGAATGAAGCCAATAAGCTTCCACCGCCTCTCAGGAGTTTAGATTTCTACAGGCCTAAAATTCAGATGGTTAAAATTGAAACCATTCAGGAAAGTCAGACATTTCTCAGAGATGAAGAGCAAATCCAAATACATCAATACAGAATTTTATTTTCATTAAACTTCAGATGGATGTCTTACATATTGTACAAAATTATTAGAAAATGTCTGCCGCTCCGTAATCCCACGGCTAATCCTTCATGGGGGGGTAACTAAAGACACTAAAGGATTAACAGGGAACCATGCAGCATTCTGGACCAGTTGAAGAGGCTCAGCCTGTCCTTCAGATCAAAGCTTTAGTCCAACGTTTCCTCTCCTGGTCAAACATCCACCCCCCCTCCCAGACTGATTGGGAGCAGCATTATCTGACCACATGTAGTAATGTACAGGGTAGAGATACGGAGTAGGATGAAGGAGAGGCCTTTCCCACTCATGTCTGCGATGGATGGGCACAGTACCACGTCGACAACACCATGCACGTTTGCATACGCATGACACGTCATTGGGTTCCATTAGATGAAGAGTTTGTTGTAAAAAAAAAAAAAAATCAGTCATTAAAAAGAGAAATCAACCAATGAGTGCAGGTCTGTTTGGATGAGGTAAAAGGGGATAGATGTTTAGCTACTGTACACGCCCAACACACACACACAAAACTCTCAGCTAAGCGCAGAAGCGTTTTCGCCTCTGTAAAATCTTCGCTTCTCTTTCTGTGCCAGACGAAAAAGAGAGCGATGAAATGATATCCTCCCGTTTTAAATGGAATTCATTTTAAAAAAAGCGAAAAAAAAAAAAAAGGCACTTTTACACGATCACTTTTCATTTTACACAGTGGTTGCATTTATATATACGGGTCCAAAATGAAAAACAAAAACAAGTGAGACAGCTACATTGTTGTTTTTATTCCTGCGCGTTTGTTGGAGCACGCTCGCAGGGCGGGGGCTCATTTTCACGATGAAGCGTCGTCTGAGCAGTTGGCACATGTACATGCAAAGCTGCAGAATTTGGCCTGCACAGGCAAAAAAAAAAAAAAACTAAGGGGGGAAAAGAGGATGGAAGGAAGGAAAATAAATCGACTAGTATGTGGACAGAATGACGCACAGACAGACTGAAAGGCAGGTTGTTGATCTGCGACTCCTCGTGTCTGGTGTTTAGCAGCACCAGAGGAAGCCTCAAAGCATCAGACATCGGCTAGGTCAGTCGGTTTCAAGGATGAGCGGCGGTTGCTCGTTTTCCTCCTCTAAGCGGAGGTCGTTCAGGTCCTCTTCAATCCCCGACCCTCCGACTGCGCCTTGTTCTTCACAGTAACCTAAAAAACAAGAGCAACGCTCAGATGCTTGAGGCAATCAGGACTGAGAGTCACAGTTTGCAGCACATACGTCACATTACAAACATGTAAAAAACATACGGTGCACATTTATAAGCCACTCAGGTAAAGATGTGTATAAAGTTTTTAAAAATTTTATATTTTTTTCCATCATAAGAATCTCAAAAACCAGGGGATAAAAATCTCCTGGTATAAAGTTAATAAAGCCACGAACACAGCCAGGAACACAGATCCTCTGCTGTGTTTACAAGAATGCATGAAGTTGTTTTCTCAAATATTGATCTCTGCTAAAGACTTTTAGAAGTCAAGCAAAGATGGGGTCCGGTTAAGTCTCACTGCGTGACCCCCAGCCACAAGAGGCGCCTTCCGGCCGCTGCTAACAGCACATCTCACCAATGGCCCTCTAAAATATAACATATTTCTGCTGCTTTTATTCAATTGTACTTGCATTTATAGAGAGGTGAAAAGGACAATATCTAAAATAGAAATCAAAGATGTTTATTATACAATAAGTTGTATAATAAACAACCTGTTTTGACTTGTAGCACCTGTGTGACGCTTCTCCCAATAAATAGAACAATGTGTTCAGACCACGGATCAGAAATGGAAAAACATTTTAATAAATGTGTTGCAAATGAGCAAATGTTATTTAGTGTATCGTGTCAGCTAGTATTAGCAGTGGCTCATGCCATTCAGCGACGTCAGAGAGAGAGGTGCGATTGAAATGCTGCAATCAGAACGCCAGCGGCCGCAGAAATCAGATGATCATCCATCCAAGGTAAATATTTGCTACATTTAAAAAAAGAAATTTCTCTTCTTCAGCCCATTTACATAAAAGCTAATGAGTGGATTTGAACTTTGATGTTTAAATCAAGCTCTAATGTGATGCTTTAAGTTATGCATTTAAACAAAAAAGTTGATGAAAAGATGTTTTTAGTAATTATGGGACAAAAAAGTTCTTATTCCTGACTCTCTCTTTATCCACGCTATTCACTTCATATCAGGTCATCTTAGCTCTTTTTTTAAACAGGTTCTTTTCCATCTCAACTGAGCCCCATGGTAACGTGGGTGGGGCCATCATAACAGACAAAACAATAGAAGAACACCTGCACAGTTTACGGCTTTGTCCGACTCACAGTAAGTCAGAGAAGGCAGCAAGATGGAGCCCAGTAGGTAAGTTTAAGGAGAGTCAGAGTATAGGAATTTAGCTAATGCTAAGAACCTAGCGAACATTTAGCTAGTCTCAAATTCCCCTTGTAGAAACTTAAAGTTTGCAATGATTTTATTTCATTATAGCATGATTACGGAAAATATTTTTCTAGCAAAAAACAGACTCATTTCGCATTTGATCATAAAACTCTGAAACACATTACTATAAACCTGCTTTAACAATCTTTTTATCTCCAGAGTATCTGACAAGCACATGGTCAAAATGGATGTTATAACATTTCAGAAAGATCCAGTTTTTCTAAATTACCTTTAGTGACAGCCGCACTGTAGGTTTGGGCCACAAGGGGGCGATCATGCGGCCCCTGCTCAAGGATCTCATTGGGAGGCTCTGCACTGCTGTCTAACCTGTATCAAGAGAGAGAAAGCATTAAAACTCCCACATTCAGCTGGAACATCAAACCTCCCTCTGCATTCTCTGAGTTTCACCTGTGCTGCTTCATGAGCGTGCATTCACCGCCCTCCTGAGGGTCCAGGTTGTACAGATACAGGTACCCATCAGCTGCTGCCACCAGCAGCCTGGGGATCTTCTGAATTCTGATTCAGAAACACATGAAGATCCATCAGAAACCTGCAGCCAGTTCAGCTGTAGATCACACACAAAGGTAGAGTCGCTCCATTTCCCTGTTCATTTGCATTTCAGCTCTTAGATTAACAGATTGAGGACCTGGTAGGAGGAAGTCAGTCATCCTTTCTAACAAACTGGGAGCAACTGTGAGCAGCAGGGAGCAGGACTAAATGATGTTAATATGTCAACCTGATCCTGGTTAACCATGAAAGAAATCTGCTCTAATGAGAAAACTAAAAAAGGAAAACATCTGTTGATGTTTAGCTAGCTTTAGAGGTTAAAGCTGGTGCAGAGTAATTAATGAAAGCTTTGTAGTGAGGGTGTGTCTGCTCACACAGCTAAGGCGCAGATGTTCTTGTAGCCGCAGAAGGGCAGGCGAACGGTGGCGAAAGCTCGCCCCTGGGTGAACATTTCTGTGACCTGTGAAGGCAGGTAGGTTGTGGACGCCATCAGGACCTTCCCCAAGTAACCTCCCCAAGTTGTGGGCTCCTCAGCTGGCCTAAAAAAAACAACAACAAAACAATAAGACAAAGATCCCAAACTCCAGTGCATAATATGTGAAACATGGTTTCATTTTTCTCTTTATCTGATGGAAATAAATAAAATCCTGTTCAACAGATTACATTCAGATGCCCCCTTATAACAGGGTTTATACAGGAATGAGTAGCCCTAATTGAATGCCTTTTAATGCTCTTAAAAATTATTTTAATGCCATCAACAAGTACCCATGAATCTCTTATATATAACTGCAAAATATTTCATCATCTTTACTGTCAACAGGCTGCAGCCGTGTCCCGAATTCCTCGTTTTCCAGCTACTTTTGCTAAAATTTGCATTTTCCCAATTCTCTAGATTTTTCTCCGGCTTCTTTTCCGAACATACAGCTTTACGATCAACCAGAAGCAGTTCAGCGCAAAAAGATCCGAATATAATATATATGACGAAATTATTTTGATAAATTTTTTTTAAATAAAGCATTTAAATGCCATGATAATCACATAGTCATTTAATGAATTTTAATGCCAATTAAAATAAAAAAAATAACAATTTAATGACATTTAATGACCCGCGGGAACCCTGTATGATGAAAAATAATCTACCCTCATTGAGATCAAAGAGCACAGCAGATTCAGGGAGAAAGTTAAAGGAGCCTTTAGACTAGAATACAAAATCCCAAGCTCTCGACTTCTCAAGAGATCTCTGTTCAGACTGATGACACAAAGATGTGGATCTAGCAGCTCTGACCAGATAAAGCAAGAATGTGGACACATTATCCACACTTTGAAGCATAGTGGTCACAGCATCATGATGTGGTGTTTTACCAGATCTGGGGGAGGACACCTGGTCAGACTAAATGACAAAAATCCTGCTGGGAGTCATTTAAAGGCTGTTTTGACACCTGCAGCTTTATTTCGATCCTGTTTGGGTCAGAATGAAAGCACAACTGGACTCAACAAAACAGTGCAGCCTGAAGAGGTGGTCTCGGTTCGCACCCAGCCCAACTCTGATGCTCAGTAATTTATGTCTGAAAAAACAACCATACTCTGTTGGGATATGATTCGATATTATGCACATAAATTACCTTTCTGGCCGTCGGTTTCTGCACCAGATGAGGAGCCTACTGATGTGTGTTAGGGAGCAGTAATCAGCGCCTCGTCCTGAACGAGGCAGAAATTTCCATTCTGCGTCTCCAGTGCTTCAGCGTATTATTTCTAAGCTGCAGCCGTGCTTCATTTTTTCAGACTCGTTTTCCAATAGAAAATCATGTAGAAAAAAAGGGAGAGCTCCTGACAATGGCTGTACCTCAGTCTCTATCATGAAACTTTTATCCATTCATATCCTGTTTGGTCCCGAGCGACAAAAAACTGGTGTGAAACCAAGCGTACTAACAGAAAATGTAACAATGTATCATTTGAACATTCAGAAGTACACAATAACTGAACAGAAAACACCATAAAGACATGAAACCATGTCAGAGGTTCAACCTCCTGTAGGACAAACATGATCATACTGCCAGAATTGCAGTGGAGAGGGCTTAGATCAAGGTATGTTTGGTTCAGTCTAAGCCCAGAACTAAATCCCATTAAGTATATGAGATGATATTTTCAAAAACAGATGTTTTGAGAAGAACTCTGTGCATTCTGACAGCAAAAATGAAAGAGATCCACCAGGATGACTGGGATCAAATGAAAGCAATTATTTTCTGATTGTTTTTGTAGAAAATTAAAAGAATTTAAAGAAAGGAAAACCGTGGACACAACGCCACACACTATTTCTATTTTAAAGGTTAACATTATTATAATATAGACAGAAAGGTAAAAAGGGCACTTACACATACTTCTCCTTCTGTGTCTCTAATTTGAAGATGTGGACCGTCTCTGTGTTGCTGGAAGCAGAGAGATACAAGCCTTCCATGCTGAACGCCAGCGAACAGATGCTCACACACCTAAATAAAACACAATGTACAATTTAGCAAATACAGACAAAAAAAAAAACACTCTAGTTTGACTCTTTAATTCCTCAACTACTAAATGTGTTATCAGTCGTCTTCTACCTCTTGACGCCTCGCCGGAACTCAAAGAGCTTCTGCCCTTCTGGGATGGAGAAGACACGGATGACTGTGCCCTGGGGGAGGAAGCGAAACACACAAGGCGCAGGCTGAGAAGAGGAAGCGAACACAAAGATCACCCTGTGCTCTGACAGACAACAGGCCAACGCGTCAGACGATACCTTCTCTGAAGCCGTGGCCAGCTTGGTTCCACTGGCATCAAACGCCAAAGCTGCTAAGGGACTGTCGTGAGCTGGAATCATGTTGGCCGCCCTCTGAGGAGACAAAACACACCGGGGTTTATGTGGGACTGAATGAAGCCCAAACAGAACAGGTGCCATATAAAACCCTAAATCTTTCAGAGAAGGGAGTAGAAACATTTCAGCCCTAAAACAAAGATCAAGCAGTTTGTGTTTCCCTACCAGGTTGACTGTGTCAAACACCTGGACCTCTCCTATCGTGGCGCTTCCTGGATACGCCAGGTAACAGTTATCATTGCTGATGGAGAGAGCGCACAGTCCTGGAGAGAAGCACAAACCACAAAGGACACTGAAACACATTTCAATCTAGAACTGGAGAAAGCTGGATGGTTTCATCAACAAAGATCCTGAAATAGTGAAAATATCAGTAATTTAGTCCAGAAAGGTAAAATTAGAAAATAAATCAGATCTATTGATACATTTCAAGTGTTTATTTCTGTTAATTTGGGTGATTTCACTGCAAAAACATATAAAAAAATCTGGTTTCTAGAAAGAAAAACAACTTAAGACCATTAAAAATTATTTATTTCAGATGTTATTTCTGTTCTAGCCCGACTCTGCAGTTTTTCCCATAGAGGTGAAAACAGCAGCAGGAGCCAGCAGTTTGCAGACTGCTGTTTTTCATGCATTTTAATGGAAAGTAAGTGGAAGGAAAAGGTGTTGTTAAAAAAAGGGATAACCAGAGCGTCTCAGTGGGTCTTGCGATATGAAAGTTGTGGATTAAGTGCAGCTTCCGCCTGCCCCTGAGCAAGGCACCTAACCAATAGTTGCCTAGAGATCTGTGTATCAGTGTAGGTTTAATTTCTGAACGGTGAGTGGGACAAGAAAAGTGTTACATAAATTCAGATTTAGCATTTAGAAGGTGTGGATAAAAAATAAAACCAACAGACATGTAATGTCTGAAATCATTTAGAAAGAAAAGTTCTCTTTTTTTTTATGACAATATTTGTTAAACGTTTTATTTCGAGAACCCAGAGGCTTCTACCAGGAAGTGTTTGATGCTTCCCTCTGCTGACAGACTGATTTATGTTTCCAGCAGGACTGAGCAGCTGCAGCTCACACAGCTTCAATGATCTTGGTGTCACTGTTCCAACAACCAGTGACTCCATGATGCCTGGTGAAGTGGAGCAACCTGGGATTCCTGCACTCCTCAGTAGATTTACAACCATTATGGACTCCCTCTAATGTACGGTCCCACTTAGCGGGCCGACATTTCTGTATTAAAAACGTATTCTTATGCAATACTTACATTTCCTATGAAGCTGATTTTGTTGCTGAAATGCTTCATCATAAAGAAATTAACTGAATGAAGACTTGAAATATTTCACTCTTTTTAAATATATTTAGCTCATTTAGTGTTTTGACAATATTCTAATTTAAAGAAATACATTTGATGAAAGATATTTGTGAACCAAACCTAAACATGAGCCCTTTGATTTAAACATACTCTGCCAGCCTGTCTTTCTAAATCTGGTTTCCTCTATGAACCGACCTGATGGGTTAGGAGGCGTCTCTCTTATAGTGTGCAGCACTTTCATGTCTCTGATGTTGTGAATGTAAAGCGACTCTTCCAGACACACAATCAGCCTCTGCAGGAAGAAGATGCAAACATTAGCAGTCAACTGACCAAGCATTCGGGATAGAAAAAATATATATTTAACACTCTCTCCCGTTCTTTCCTACCTGTCTGTTTAGCTTCACAGCCAGGATGGTGTTGGAATAAGAGTAGTTGCAGATCTCTGTTCCCTTCTTGAAGTGACAGACTTTGAGCTTCCTGGGCGCCTTCAGGCTCACGATGGCCACCAGGCTGCTGGAGAAGAGACGCTCCACGATACACACATCCTCTGTGTCAGCTGAAGAAATGTATACACACACAGAGAAAACATCACCTTTTCGGTGCCGAAGCGGCTTTGCAAATTTTAAGCCTAAGGGCTTGTATGCTTTCTAGCAGGATTTAAGTGGAAGAATTAGAAAGAACCATTTCAATTGATTAATATAGATTAGAATATGCGGGGGGACCCACAGCATGACGCTTCCACTGCCATGCGTTGTAGAAAAAGTTAAATTTTTTTTTTAACCTAAAAAATGTTTTACGTGAGGGCCGAACGCTTATTTAAATCCCTTCCGATCATGTGTTTTTACTGTAAACATCCTTTCTGCCACCCATCCTTGAAATGCCAGTTTTAGGAGTGTTTAACTAACAGCTGTCTAGTCAAAGTATTCTCAAACTCCAGCTTAGGCTCTCCACTGCGCCTTCTGAGGGACCATAGGTCTCTTGGCCTCTTACCTGATGAATACCCTTCTTATCCCACTGGTTATTCTATGTCTTGCTCTCTTTCCACTTTCTTATACTAATAGGGGCTTCATGACATTTAGTTTTACTGGACTTCATCTAGCTGCATCAAAGTTGACAGCACTGTAACACATTTCAATTTTACTCCTGCACGACACTGTAGCTTCAAATGTGTACAGGGGTTAATAAAAGGCAACAGAGATATGAAAACAACTTTATTCTGATTAGAAAGTTAAAGATAAATGTCTAAAAGAAAGTCTTAAACAGTAAATTTGTGTTTTTTTTGTAAAAACCATCTCTGATATGCAACAGATCGCATCCTGTCTAGACAAACGGCATCAAATATAACCAGTTAAACATGTGACAGAGCAGCAGCATAATGACAGATGGTGATCTGCTGTAAATGCTGCTTGGAAAACAAAGGAAAAGGCTTTAAAAAAAGCAGGGATATGGCTTCCATAATACTTACTACATTCATATATCTGCTCCAATTTGTCAACAGATGACAAGGAAAAAAACTTGTATCCTGACTTGGTGCCAACAGCCAAGGACCTGCAGGGAAACCAGGAGGAAGAAGACAGCTGTGGTGACTGATCGTTGCATGGAGCTCCACCGGCTGCAGTTGGATATCACCATGCAACATTTCTAATCCAAACACCGGGCTCCTCCACCGTTCAACATCCATTCCATAATATCAAAGTGAATGTTTACGTTTTAAAACTAAGCTAGAAGCCAAATGACAGCAATTCCTCACAAGCACGACCAAAACACTCAACGTGAATATAACCTAATAACATTTTAGTAACAATTATATCTTATAAACACACTTAACGTTCACTCCAGCACCCTAACAAGCAATTCCGAGACTAAATACTTAGATGTTTTGTGGCTAAAGTTAGACCCCGACCTCACTGCATCACGTTAGCTAAAATGCTAAGCTAGTCTCTTGTGAAATAAAACCCTATATGAATCATTAACTCAATGTCTGACTGTCATTGTCTTTGCTTTCTTCATTTTATATAGATAAACATCTTCCCGTATATTTCACATTAGCACCGGTCACCCGGCTAGGAGCCCTGGTGGGTACAAACCAAGCTAACAGCAGTTAGCTTCAAGCTAACAGTAGTGAGCTAGAAGCTAACAGCAGCTAGCCTGAAGCCCCAACAGGCCATAGCATCCCCGGACTCTCTCCCCGGCCCAGCCTTACGTGTTGTCCTGGTTAAAGTTGGCGAAGAGAAGCTGGCTTCCGCCAGCATCTCCGCTCAGACTCGCCAGGTTCATGAGCTCGTCGCCGCCGACATATAAAGTTTCTAATTTAAAATAGCAGCAGCAGGGCTGAGCCTGTTTCAGTGAACTAAATTACAAAGTGTGGCGTTTTCATCGGGTCATCTCTGTTTCCAGCCCCGCAATTTCTGATTGTTGTTGTTTTTTCACTGGGGATGTTTCTCTCCCTCTGCGCGCATGTTCAATGGAAGGTGAGGTTCAACGGACTTAAAGCGCCAGCTTCACAAAATGACGGTAAATAACAAAAATAAGAATTCAATTATAACTCATCGTAATACTCAGAATGTATGACCGCGTTATACTAGCGGAGAAATAATTACACATATCACTATATCGAAAATAAAATAATGTAAAATAAATCATGACTTGATCCATCAGCGCCCTCTAGTGTCCAAAATATAGATCGATTTAGGCTGGCTGGGGATAAATACCCATAACTTTAATTTCAAGAAAATCTCTTAAAATGACTGAAAACAAAGGTTAAGTATGCTCTCTCTGTTTCATGTTCAGTAAAATAAATGTTTTATTTATAACATATAAACAGAACTTCAGTATAATTTCTTCCTTTTTGAATAACATTTGGGGATTGACAAACCCAGGTATCCTTTAGTGGTGGTGGTGCTAATAACAAAAACAAAAATGTTGGAACTAATATGTAAAGCAATGAAAAGGTAAAAAGGTAAGTAGGTAATAAAAAAAATCTGTATAGCAGATTTCTGTGGTGATGCTATTCAAGGTGCATTACATCATAAGAAAATTCAGCACGAATGGGAAGTACATTTATTAAAATCATTTAAAAAAATTAATCAAGCACACAACAAATGATCAAAACACCAAAATCATGACACAGAATTGTATAAATCCTCAACTAGATACACATTATACTCATAAAGAGTGTGTAATAGGATATTTTGTTTAGACAACTAGCATAGAAGGAAAGTAAAAGGAGATACATTTTGCCCAGGATAAGCTTCAAAAAGTAGTTTTGTAATAGTAAATGTGAAAGTAGATCAACTCAGGATTTAATATCAGACTATATGAAAAAAATGACTTGTTTGATAGTATTAATGGGTAGGTTAAACGTTTTTAGTTTATTTTCAAAGCCTGATGGCAGATTTAATGCTCAGTAGAATCCAGCAGAGGGCAGCATTTTGGTTAAAACAATTTGGCATGGTCTAATGTAGAATCATGGGAAAAACTAAGCACACCCTGGTAACTGCTGGCTTTATAACTAAGCAGATTTATTTAAAATTCTTTATAAAATGGCTTTAACTGTCAGCTCCCTAGCGTACCACCATAGTGTTTAAAGTGAGCTGAGGTCAATTAATTTTACTGGTTCATTGCTACAGCTTTTCTCATTCTCATTATGGTTATACTGCTTTGGATTCCCTGCTGTGTTTGGAAGTGGATTTGCAACAGTCTTTGCTGTTTACATACAGCTCTGGCTTCATCGTCTCAGCTGCTGCTAGCACAAACCATCACCCCTCCACTACCATGCTTGATAGTATAAAATATATATGCTGATTTCCTGTGCTTGCTTTGCCTCTCCCATACCATTTTCCAAATATGCTGCTAGGAAAACTAGCGGCCATGTTCAAGTTTTCTACTTGATGGAATGATATTTAATGCCTTCAGATTGATTTAAAAAAAGTCAAATTAATGCTGATTATTGCTGATACCTTTTCATCCTGGCATTGGATTACTAAACTGCTTTTATTGAGGGGTTCACACAGATGACAACAAGCTAATTCAATTTAAAAATACTTCATTAAAGTAAGCCAAAAGGGAAATGAATTAAAACACACCTGATATTTTCCCCTGATCTGTATAGACAATTGTTGCTACTTTCTTTGTCTTTGTCTTATGACTGCTCAGATAATTCACTCAAACCATGTGAGGTAACATTTCTAAGACACATGAGAACTAAAGCTTTAAATGAGCAATTCTGAATTAATTCAATTTTTATGCTTTTGTTGTACTAAAACTCTGTAATTTCACCCAAGTGCATTACAATTCAATTCAATTTCAATTCCGTTTATTTATATAGTAGCAATTCACCATACATGTCATCTCAAGGCACTTTACAGAGACAATTCAATTAAGGAAAACCAGTTAATTGCTTCGAGTCGTTAACTTGCAGGACATGCTCCTGCTGGATGAGCTTGCAGTGAGAATATTCACATGCATTTTGTTGTTGACTCTTCAGCACTGGCTTAAATTTACAATTTATGGTCAGTAAATACAATTAAGACATTTGTATTTTCATCACTGTAATAATTAATGTTTGATGTTTATACTTTTTTTTAAAGCACACTGTTGTAGGTTCTTCTTTTTTATTTTGTTTACATGAATCAGAAAAAACTGAATGAGGTTGATTGATTTCTGATACATTGCTCATTACATTGCTCAATGAAATTAAAGGACCTCTTTGAGAACACATTAGGCAAGGCAAATGTATTTGTATAGGACAATTCAGTACAAAGACAATGCAAAGTGCTTTAAAATATAGGAAATAAAGGAAATAAAGGAAAATAAAACAGAATCAAAGCAAGTAGGACAAAAATAAAATAAAAAAATGCAGAAATAAAAAATAACATTAAAAACAGTTGGACTAAGGAAAATAAAAAAAGTTGAACTAATGATGTTTCAGTTGAACTGTTTAACTAGAACAGTCAAAGGTAATCCTAAATAAATGTGTTTTTAGTCTTGATTTAAAGGAACTCAGGCTTTCTGCACTTTTACAGTTTTCTGGAAGTTTGTTCCAGATAACTGGAGCATAGGAACTACAGGTGCTGGTCATAAAATTAGAATATCATGAAAAAGTAGATTGATTTCAGTAATTCCATTTAAAAAGTGAAACTTGTATATTATATTCATACATTACATACAAACTCATATATTTCAGATGTTTATTTTGTTTAATTTTGATGATTACAAATGACAACAAATGAAAATCTCAAATTCATCATATCAGAAAATTAGAATATTACTGAAGACCAATAAAAACAAAGGATTTATAGAAATGTTGGCCAACTGAAAAGTATGAACATGAAAAGTATGAGCATGTACAGCACTCAGTATTTAGTTGGGCCTCCTTTGGCCTGTATTACTGCAGCAATGCGGCGTGGCATGGAGTCGATCAGTCTGTGGCACTGCTCAGGTGTTATGATAGCCCAGGTTGCTCTAATAGTGGCTTTTAGCTCTTCTGAATTGTTGGGTCTGGTGTATTGCATCTTCTTCTTCACAATACCCCATAGATTTTCTATGGGGTTAAGGTCAGGAGAGTTTGCTGGCCAATTAAGAACAGGGATACCATGGTCCTTCAACCAGGTACTGGTAGCTTTGGCACTGTGTGCAGGTGCCAAGTCCTGTTGGAAAATGAAATCTGCATCTCCAAAAAGTTGGTCAGCTGCAGGAAGCATGAAGTGCTCTAAAACTTCCTGGTATGTGGCTGCGTTGACCCTGGACCTCAGAAAACACAATGGACCAACACCAGCAGATGACATGGCACCCCAAACCATCACTGACTGTGGAAACTTTACACTGGACTTCAAGCAACGTGGATGAAGTGCCTCTCTTCTTTTCCTCCAGACTCTGGGACCTTGATTTCCAAAGGAAATGCAAAATTTACTTTCATCAGAGAACATGACTTTGGACCACTCACCAGCAGTCCAGTCCTGTTTCTCTTTAGCCCAGGCAAGACGCTTCTGACGCTGTCTGTGGTTCAAGAGTGGCTTGACACAAGGAATGCGACAGCAGAAACCCATGTCTTTCATACGTCTGTGTGTGGTGGTTCTTGAAGCACTCACTCCAGCTGCAGTCCACTCTTTGTGAATCTCCCCCACATTTTTGAATGGGTTTTGTTTCACATTCCTCTCCAGGGTGTGGTTATCTCTCTTGCTTGTACACTTTTTTCGACCACATCTTTTCCTTCCCTTCGCCTCTCTATTAATGTGCTTGGACACTGAGCTCTGTGAACAGCCAGCCTCTTTAGCGATGACCTTTTGTGTCTTGCCCTCCTTGTGCAAGGTGTCGATGGTCGTCTTTTGGACAACTGTCAAGTCAGCAGTCTTCCCCATGATTGTGTAGCCTATAAAAATAGACTGAAAGACCATTTAAAGGCTTTTGCAGGTGGTTTGAGTTAATTAGCTGATTAGAGTGTGGCACCAGGGGCCATCAATTTTGAACCTTTTCACAATATTCTAATTTTCTGATATGATGAATTTGAGATTTTCATTTGTTGTCATTTGTAATCATCAAAATTAAACAAAATAAACATCTGAAATATATGAGTTTGTATGTAATGTATGAATATAATATACAAGTTTCACTTTTTAAATGGAATTACTGAAATCAATCTACTTTTTCATGATATTCTAATTTTATGACCAGCACCTGTAAATGCTGCTTCTCCATGTTTAGTTCTGGTTCTAGGTATGCAGAGCAGGCTGGAGCCAGAAGACCTGAGTGGTCTGGAGGGTTGATACACTGATAGCAAGTCTGTGATGTATTTAGGTGCTAAGCCATTCAGAGATTTATAGACTAACAGAAGTATTTTAAAGTCTATTCTCTGAGATACAGGGGGCCAGTGTAAGGACTTTAGAACTGGGGTGATGTGCTCTACTTTCTTAGTCTTAGTGAGGACACGGGCAGCAGCGTTCTGGATCAGCTGCAGCTGTCTCCCTCTGTGTACTTTTTAGGCAGACCTGTGAAAACACCGATGCAGTAATCAATTCGACTGAAAATAAACGCATGGATTAGTTTTTCCAGATCATGCTGAGACATTAGTCCTTTAATCCTGGAAATGTTCTTCAGGTGATAGAAAGCCGACCTTGTAATTGTCTTTAAATGCTTTTGGAGGTTCAAATCTGAATCCAGCACTAGACCTAGATTTCGGGCCTGATCAGTGGTTACTAGCTGAAGCGACTGAAGCTGTGTGCTAACTTTAGATCTCACCTGTATTGGTCCAAAGATTATTACTTCAGTTTTGTTTTTATTCAGTTGAAGAAAATTACGGCACATCCAGGCATTGATTTCCTCTAAGCATTTAGTGCTTATCCTTAGTGCTTGAATTGGTTCATAATCACCTGGTGACATTATATCTCCATTTAAAAAAAAGACTGGTGCTAGTTATCCAAACTGGTGTGGAAGAGGTAATAGGAAATAAACTTAATTTGATGGTAATTAGATGACCAACCCACAGAGAGCTTAATCTACAATCAGAGAAGCTAAACTTTCTTTATATTTACTAAAAAAAATACAATGAGAGAAGGTACAACAACAATCTTTGTCATTCTTTTCCCCCTCCTTT